TACAAAGTCCGAGATGGTACGGCTCCCATCTACCTGAATCCTCTTGCAAAGGCTTACGTCTCGGCCCGGCCGCTCCGGTCATCACAGGATCGTCGGCTAGCAGTGCCTACACCACGCTCAGGACAATCCAGACTCTTCTCATGCATCGTTCCACAAATATGGAATGACCTTCCAAGCACTACCAGAACAGGGGCTTCCTTTTCGACTTTCAAGAAACTCCTGAAGACCCTGCTCTTCAGAGAGCATCTTCTTAACTAGCACCCTCCCTGGACCCGTCCCCCCTCTCTACTGTCCACTCCTTGTTCCCTCCTCTCCATGATTGATGTCAAGTTGTTGTTGTTATTGTTGTTGTTAGCCTCAAGGGCAACATGCCGATTATCACTTGTAAGTTGCTTTGGACAAAAGCGTCTGCTAAATACATAAACATAATAAACATAAGAAGCGAGTGCCAGAGAAATGGGGCGCCGCACTATTTGTTGACCGCATAACAGATCGCTGAGAATCAAGTGAATCCAGGATGTTGACAACGTGAATGATGTAACGGTCGTTACGTGGTGTATTTTTTTTTGGGGGGGGGGGGGGGGGGGGGGATTATAATCAATAAGATGATGATTCTATATAAATAGAATATCAACTTGATTGATCTTTGAATGGTTAACCAGAAGAAAATTGGATTCTTTGCTTATTCAGTGACCATAAACACAGTTCGTATTCATTCAGAGTCAAGTGTATAATTAAAATAAACTTTATTTTCTAGACTAATTATGATACTTGACAAGTTATGAAATGATGTGTGATGGATTAATATGTGTGGATGGAATGTGATGTGTGATCAGAACCTTTGTATCTAAAAGAAACTGAGTTCTGGGTGTGAAAGAATTTGGTCTGCTCTAAACTAGAGAGTTGATTATTAATAAAACAACATCAGACGCAATTTTGCTGTGTCTATGTACCCCAAATGGTGACTCCCTTTTGGATCCGAGATGTTGGGGGGGTCGGGTGACCCCAAGGCACTGAAACTCGTAGATTACCCGCAATGCGACCAGGTCAGTCCAGTGTCGTCTCCAGGTCACAACAAACAGGTGGACTAGTTTTGCGTCTCAGACGGACTCTTAAAGAGTACTGTGTCAGCTTTGCAGCGTGCAAACAAGGTTTTGACAGCTTGTCAAAAGCTTTGACGGTTCAAAGAGGTTTCCTTCGGATTGGCCACTCCGAAGTTCTGCTCAAAAACTCAACTTGGCTCAACTGAACTGAACAACTCGGTAAGTCATCTGAGTTTTATTAATTCCTATGTTATGATTTTCTGGCATTTCACATTGTGCCATGCTAAGGAGGTTTTAACGTCAGAAACACTCCTCCTTCAGATTTGATTTTGTGGATAAGAAACTCGCTGTGTGTCATGAGATTACCTTGACCTTGTCATATGGTCATGTGCATGAGTGTGTGAGCTTGTCAAGTCACGTACGCTGATTATTAGACAAATGGATATTGCAAGGACACATTCATTTCAGCCTTATTAATTTAGGCACAGATTAACCAAACCATTATTATTATTCAACCATTATTGTTCGTTCAACCATATGATTATTTAATTTTAAGTTGAAAAAGTTCACTTTTTATTCAGAGTGGAATCCAGCAGTCTGAGATAAGAGGAAAGCTTGAAGACCTTGGGAGAACAGTTTGTTGACAGAATATTATCTTGTGTGCCAAGGCACTGCAGAATCTTCTGGCTTGTAGCAGATAGAATTTAAAATCCACTCAGAAAATTGGATTATATCAGTATATGACCGGTCACTGTGTAGGTCAATATGTAGGTGAAAATTGACCCTTTCTGGACGTTACAATGATACAACACAGAAGTTCAAGTATTAAAATTAATTAACCAAGAACCAAAAGAATCTCAGTCAGTTATTGTTCAGCGCCACTACTGGACCCTGTCTCAAACAAAGCAGTGTCTGAGTTACGTTTCCGGGAGCCGCTGGAACACTAGCATTGATGATGGTAGCGTCTGACCGCTGCACAAAGGCTTCTCCAACACATCCCAGAGATTCTCACTGGGGTTAAGGTCTGGACTCTGTGGTGTGAAAATGGTGTCTCATGCTCCCTGAACCACTCTTTCACTATCTGAGCCTGATGAATCCTGGCATCTTGGAATGTGGCCGTGCCATCAGGGAAGATGGAACAACCTGGTCATTAAGGATATTCAGGTAGTCAGCTGACCTCATCCTTGGAGCACTTCCTGTTGCTGAACCTAGACCTGACCACCTGCAGCAAGCCCAGATCATAGCACAGCCCCCACAGGCTTGTACAATAGGCACTAGACATGATGGGTGCATCACTTCATCTGCTTCTCTTCTTACCCTGATGCACCATCACTCTGGAACAGGGTCTATCTGGACTCAGACCAGTTTTTAATAAAGCGTTGGACAGTTCTGAACCCAGTAGTTGTGACGGAATGAAATGACTGTTTCCCCTCTCCTCTGACACAGAACTAGTCTGCATGAGATCTGGCCTCAAGGTCTCATGCATTTGCTCTAAACTGCTTCCTTTCCAGCCCAAGAGAACAATGAAGAAAAGGACTCTCTCCTTTTAATAAATCAAAGAACTCTATTTTTAATAAAGCTAATCAACCAAAGTGTTAGTCAATAATAAGATGTGACCAATCTGTGAAATCAAAATATTAATTACTTTATTATAATCCTCTAGAATATAATAAGTAATATGACTTTTAATGTTTCCACTAGGACTGATCTCACGTAGCGTTAAAAGACATGACACATTGCTTTCACTGATCCAATCAGAATCTGCCAGATCTGACGGAGGCGTGGTTTTGGTGGTGCTTGGTAAATCTGTCATCTTTTCATTCGACCATAAACCAAAACATCCGAAGTATAAAACTATGCCCACGTCATCTTTAACGCCAGTTCAAAGCGTTCTAGAGAAGTTGTCGGAGTGGCCAATCCGTGACTTTCCTCTTCAGCCGAAAGAACCAACGACAAGCTGGATAAAATCTGTTGTTCCACCTGCTGCAACGGTTCCTTTCAGAATAAAAGCTGAACTCACTGACCTTCTGGGTCCATCTGACGCTGTCAACCAACTGTCGCTTTTTACCTGGAGACAATCCAAAGACTAGTTTGTCATACTGCTGACGCTGTTTCACCGGCTCCGGTACCGAAAGGGGGGTTTGAGGACCTGGCATTCTGGATCTGTACGGAGGTCTTATCCTGAAGGGTATGTGTGGAGCGACAACATGGCGTCGAATGTGTTTATGAATCTCCTAATGAAAGCTTAGCTCAAGACATCACCTTCATGCCCACCAGAACTAATCGTTTCTTCGGATTTGCTGGTTCTGAACAGCATTCCACACTACACCGCTCTCCGTCTCATTCACCTTAGTTACACCATACATTTAGTGTTAAAGTTAGTCTAGTTTTAATTTGTTTAGTAATAAATCTTTAAACTTTTACAACCTAACTCTCTCTTCTGTTGTCTCTCAGTCAATACGAAGTGTTACATAATCCCTGCAATAAAAAGTTCCAATCTCCTTGTTAAAAAGTACCCAAGGACATATAAGGTTGATTCCATATTCATTATGGAATCTCATGTCTTATGGGTCATTAAATAACCTGTAAATTAATTCATTACATAGTCGTTTCTGCATCTCCTTAGGTGTTTTCTCTGCTTGATACCAAAGATCTGACCCTTCTCACACAGACTAACATCTTTTCCACCACCACCAGGTGTGTCTTTCCACTTGGTTGTTTAGAACATGAGAAGCAGCTCATTGCACCAGTTGTGTTCAATAACTTGTTGCAGCTGAAAGATAATCGTCCAGCAGAAATTATCCAATAGGAGGCTCCTACCTGTCTGCTTAGGTAAATCCAGGTGGAGACTGGTTTTAGCAGGGCAGTGTATAAACATATATTGGAGTCAAAAATATTCCAGAAAGGAAATAATGGCAAAAAGTTTTTGAAATCATAAAAACATGGTTGTTTGACGAAACGTGTTCATGATAATTCCTAAAGTCTGTGATCACCTGTAGCCACACCTGGAAGGGATTTTTCTTCACAAACACATTAAAAGCAAAACCACATTAAAGCTTCTGCTGCAGCATAAACCTTCAGTATGATAAAGTTTAATTAAAACTTATTTTTTCCTGATTCTGTCAGTGAATTGCATTTGTTCAAGGTAAATCAGCTCCGAGTCGGAAGTCCTTGACGCCTCTAAAGGATCTTGGAAAATGGAAGACAATCCGTAACACGACTTCAGATTCTTACAAGTGCAGCACTGAACACACAAACCCGGCCTGTTGGTGTGTTCTGGTTCATGACCTTCTGTTGTTTATTGAAGTTGAAGCTTTTGTTTAAATCCGGATATTTCAGACTGTCATGGATAAAACTTTACCTCCTTCTGTTGCTTGTTAAAGGACTTGAATCAGAGGAAGTGTAATGTGTCGGATTTATTGTGAAATGAGCTTCCTGCCAATTTGTTCTGGTTTCATTTGGTAATAACGTTGAGGATTTAAGGCGTGCAGTAAATGTTGTGTCTTTACAGCCTCAGAGTGATCACACTCGGGTCATCTCAGCGCCTCTTAAAGTCGTTACAGTCGGCCATCTCTGTTAACACCTCTGCAGATAAATATTCACGCAGAGCTTTTTTTATATGAGGGATAACCACCCAGGAGCCTCTGAGAGCCAGGGCTTGATTTGTGGTGTTGTAACGCAGCCATCGGCCGTATCGATATCAGATTGCACACCCGCTTTGTGGAATTGTAAAATTGCTTATCTAAACTTTTCTTTGCACCTCATTTCCAGCTCGGATAATGTGGATTTCTGTCCCCAGAGAGGCCCTGTCTCGGTTTTCTGAGCCCACCCAGCCAAAGTAACCGGACACTCATTAATACTAAACGAAGCGCTCTGCAGCGTGTGAATCCTAAAAGTCAGCAGACTCTGGGTTTGGTTGTGTTGTGTCATTTGCTGCCGTTTGTGTGTGTGACCGACCTGCAGATCGAGTGTATCTCGTGCGTGTCCTCGTCTTTGTGAGCAGTTTCCGCCAGGCTGTCGCCCAGGGCCATCAGACACTGGGCGAAGCCCTTGTAGATGGTGTGACACCTTCTGGGTGAGGCTGCAGTGATGGGACTCGGGCTCAACACTGCAAAAGAAAAACACAAATTCATCTTCATGCTGCATTTTAGATGAATTAGATGATGTCTCAGATGGGGGGGGGGGCAGATGCTCTTGTCCCAAACAACTATTAAATCACAATAAACCCCCAAGGGGGAAGAACTCTAGTTAGGGACAAGCAGGTAGGTGATGGGGGGGTTTCAAGATATTATATATTTTTATAATATGTGATCTTGTTTTATTTTTTTCCATGGTTGTAAATTGTCCTTGCGTGTCAAGAAAGGTGCTTTTAAAAAATATATATTATTATTATTATTAGTCCTTGTTCATTCCACCATTGTTGAACGACACAATAACTAAGAACACGACAGTCTCAAAAAGTTGTTTCTATTTATTTTTCCTATTTCACCTAAGTCTCCCTGTTAAGTTTTAATTGTTAAACTCAATTTTGTGTGTTTTGATATTGAAAACTTAAAACTGCTTGTTATTTCAACAAATGATCATATTTTCCTCATTCTCGTGCGTTCAGTCGACTTAAAAATGCAACTTAGATTAAAAAATGACCCCGCCCACTGTGAAAGCTGCAGTGGGTGAGGTGCATTGTGGGTAGTCATGTTCTTAGTTATTTTGTTCTAATTTGAGGTGTTTATGCACATTTATTGTGGGCGGTTGTGTTGTTCTAAGGTTTTGCTTTGTTTAGTGTTCCAAAGGTGGAGTTATTTGTTGTTGTCATGTTGGCACTGAAGTGGAAGAGGGCGGTCGTAGGAATAAGAACGTTGTGCCGTTTCACTCCACTGCACTAAATAAAGTTGTATTTCTCGCTAAATGCTCAGGACTCAGCTCCCTGTGTTGTTTGAGGTGTGAGTTAGCCAGCATTTTTCAGTGTTGTTGTTAGCTTCCTGCTTCACCGTTTGCCTGTATTGGCATGGCAGCTGCCGTTTTGATAACACAAGTTCAAACAATTAATCCATTTGTTCAGTTAACAAAAACTTTTAATTTGAATGGACAACCATACATGTCTAACTCAAATTCATAAGTTAACATAATGTAGAATTGTGTGTATGTTAAACAAGACAAAATGATTTTTCCACTTTGTAATCGAATAAGATTTGTTGTTTTGACTCACAATATACTATTCAAACAAAGCGTAGTTATTATTTATGATATTTGTACAACTTGACATATAGAGTTGAAAGAAAGTGTTCATTTAAGTTGACGTGACTCAAAATTTTAAGGCAGCTGTTGAACTTTAGTTTTTAAGTTATTCTGGCCTACAATTTATTACAGTGTACCCACAATGCACCTCACCCACTGTAGCTTTCACAGTGGGCAAGGTCATTTTTTTATTTACAAATTGCAGTTTTAAGTCGACTGAATGCACGAGAATGAGGAAAATATAATCAATTGTTGAAATTACAAGCATTTTTAAGTTTTCAATATCAAAACACACAAAATTGAGTTTAACAATTAAAACTTAACAGGGAGACTTAGGTGAAATAGGAAAAATAAATTGAAACAACTTTTTGAGGCTGTCTTTTTTTTTTTACAGTGCAAGCTTATGGAAGATCTAACCGTTTCTCCATCCAGTTATTTGTGTTTTACACCAAGATGTAGTGAAAACTGATCAAGAGCTGCTCAAACCTCCCTAGATTATCTCTACTAGGTCCAGCTGAGCTGCAAATGACTCAGCGCTTTTGGATCTGATGAGACCAGAGAGCATGGCAGAAAAATTGGTAAACTAGACCCTTCTCAAACTGTGACTGGAAGCTAATATAAAACAGGACTGCAGACCCTCAAATAATCATTCAGGAAAACTATCCTAACACCAGAAACAACAACAAGTCTATCGTGTGACAAGCAGCTCAAGCAGCGCCGTGTCAGCTGTCAGTGAGGACACTCGAGGAGAAAAAGCAGATCCGTGATATGTTTACTTTCACCTCCAAACAGACGGATGGATTCAGTCGGGATGTGACAGGCCTGATGGAAAAGCATTCTGACTTCTTCTTAAATGGCTTTAATCTCCGATTTTGTCGAACGTTCGATCTGATTCCTTCATTCTCAGATCCAGGAAACAGAAGAATGAGTTTATAAAGGATGTTTGTGCATTTGGAGTTATTTTTCTCTCTCCTCTGTTCAATCTGAACATTATTTAGTCTTTTTGAATGAATTGGTTTAAAACAGCAAAAGTATATTAATTTCACTTATTAAATTCCCAGTTTATGAATTTTCTAATTCCCAGGACTTCCCGTCGTTGACATTTTGGATGCTTTGTTTGCCCAACCTGAGTCTCTCCTGAGGACAGGAAGCACTTTAATAGCCTCTGGGGTTGAAGTGTTTTTACTTCTCAGATTGAGCCAAAAACAAGTTTCACAAACGCGACACCTTAAAAACGTTTATTTTTTAAATTAGACGCATCATCAGCTGTTTCAAAGGTGTCCATTACTCATTCTAAATGTCAAAGAAGAAGTAGTTAGATCAGCCTCATCTGATGAAGTCAAAAGAAAAATCATCAGCCGAGAGTAAAAGGTTTGGCTCACATTAGCAGGAAGTCAAACTTTGAATCCAGGTATGTTCATAAGGATTCAGCCTCTGATGACACCTGAGAGAGAAGACGGCGTTTCTGATGGAGGACAGACAAGCAGTTGATAAATAAATCATTAGACCGTCTGACGTGTGTCAGGAAAAACAAAATCCACTGTCACTTCACGCCACAGCTGAGAGGTGACGGGTTGAAGCACAAACACGTGTGACTGACACAATCTTTTTTTATTTGGATTATTTCTGCGTGCCGTGTTTTCCAGCCTCCACCTCCTCTCTGAACACTGGTGATGGAGAAAGTTGAGACGAGGGGAGCAGCTGTGAAAAGTTCTGGCAGCTTCTTTTTTTTGCCATCTGTTGCTCATTCCCGTCTTTATTTGAAATCATCTCTTTCATCTCAATGCACGGCGGTGAATTCCTGCTCACTGAGTGATAATATGTGAGCGGCGACTTCAGAGCAACGTGAGACGGTTAAAGACCTCTCTAATCGTTGTTTGTGTGCTCTCACTCATCCCGCTCGTAGAGCTGGACTCAGGTAAATCTGTGCAAAGGATGAAAAACTCTCAGAAAGTTAGATCTTTGCACATGCAGTCCCAATCGAAAGTTTAAGACCACTTGAAAAATGGTCAAAAATCATATTTAGCGTGGTTGATCGTAATAAGGTTCCAAGTAGAGCTTCAACAGGCAACAAGAAGGAAGGGGAGTGAGACAAAACATTGTCTGAGGAACAATGATTTAAAACAACGCTTAAACTGAAACTGATCAAAAGTTTAAGACCACGCTGTCAAAAATCCCGTCGCCCAAAACAGAAATCAAAGCACCAAACAGGAGCTCCGTAATGAGTAGCTCCACCGTTGTTCTCCAACACCTCAAAAATTTGGTGGAGCGTTTCCCTGAGCTGAGTGGGAACGTTTCTCCAATTGGTGAAGATGACTGCACGAAGAATATCTACTGTCTGGAACTGTTCATTCTTGTAAACTTCCCTCATCATCCATCCCCAAAGGTTATCGATTGGATCAGAGCAACCTGCAGGAGGGTCCAAAAGAGCGGTGTTATTCTCCTGGAGTTCTAATTCCATCAATTCAAAATTACTTTATTAATCCCAGAGGGAAATTCAATCGTTTCAGTACACACAATTCTGAGATCAGACATACATACATAGACACATGACAAGAATTGGTGACTGTGGTCGTTCGCAACCCGAGTCGCGCTACCGTAATAGATCAAGAGGGTTTATATGAGGATAGAGTCGGGGGGAAGGAAAAAAAGGCACTTCAGAGTAACCCTCAACAGAGAGGGTAGCGTTGCTATGCAAAAAAACACCTCAGACAGATATGCACACAGACTTCAGACGATACACAACATAAGTGTCCACTAGGTGGGGAGGTAGGTTGGGACACTCTTCACTTCAAGGCGTTGAGCCGCAAGCGCAGCGCTCATCACCTCCGTTTTGACAGGGGAGGGAGGTAATGGGTTAGAGAGCACACTGACTCCTAGATACGGTTCCACGGCCTTCACCGGTCACGGTCCCGCCCAGGCTGGGATAGGGAGAAAGGGTTTCCATGGCGACGGCAGCATTCCACATTTCTTCTGAGGGGGGAGTTATCACTTCAGCCTCACAGGCTCAAGGGCACCAGATTCAGATAAGAATTGTATTGGGTACAGAGATAATTTCCTCTCTGCCTTAAGAGTTCTGTTGGTCTTCAACCCCTCCAGGTCCAATAATGGCGTAATCAATCTATTCCAATCCGTGCTGATCCGTCAACTCTCTCCTTGATCGAATCAACCTTCTGTGCCAGAGTCTGAATCTCAGCCAAAGTTCCAAGCTTACGACTCATCTCGACTATTATATGAGTTTGTGAGTTCACAGCATGATGCATTCCATCCCTGAGCTCCGGGATAAAGCCAAAATTCCTCGAAAGCTCGTTAATTTTCCGGTATGCCAGGTAACCGCTCAGGCCAAACAGCAGGAATCGCGACAGCAAAACGACAAATATCTAGACATCTTCAGAATCCTCTACAGACAGCTGAGACAGGCAGATCAGGTTCCACTGTTTCCAGGAGTTCATGATATACCCAGCTGGCTCTGTCCCAGAGGGGCAACCAGGAGCCGCTTCTCCCGTTCTCACCATTGAAAAAATGTTGTCAATCACATTGAGACCAACTGACAAGATCATGTTTAATAATTTCCAGTTTCCAGAAAAAATCCAGAAAGCGCAGAGCACAGGCACACAGGACCGAGAGCCTTGGGAGGAGGAGGGAGGGAGAGGAGAAAAAAGTGTCTGTACTCTCCAAGAGCCAGAAGAAGTGTAACCTTAATAGTTATTAAAGTATTTAAAGAACCCTCTTGTCCTGCAGTTGCTGTGTCCTGTAGCGCTGATCTGTGGAAGAACCCAGAGGTGACCACACAGATGACGACCGTGAGTTATAAGAGATGCTCTCTGCAACATCTGGACCGTTTGATGGTCCTTCACCTCCTGAAGCTCCATT